AGTTTAATGACATTTGTAAGCATTAACTAATGATCCGTTAAGCATTATATAATGTTTGTTAATGATTTACTAACAGTGACGTGCACAGACATTTTAAGGGGCAGGGGCTCAAGTGGAAAAAAAGTGCACTTCTCATATTTATTAAAAAATAATTCTAAACAAAACGTTAAATATATCAGGTATGTGCAATATTGTATACATCTCAATATTTTCTGGGATTTTATCGATAATTAGATGATATTTTGCTGAGTGTGTTATTGTGCTGATATTTTAAGGACTACCGTGGACAGCTGACTCCTAAGGTTTTTGATATTCTACATATTCTGTGTGGTGATTAGTTCACAACAGTGATATAAATTAATCTTATCCAATAAGTTTAAATGGATTTTTACCTTTTATGAGCATTTTCATTTTTAAATCCTTTTTTTTCTAAAAGTGTACATCATCATTTCAGTCAAATTCTTAAATTGAATCAGTCAATTAGAATAATAAGTCATTTGAGCTGTTACCAGTCCAAAATCAGTATTGTCTAAATTAATCTTTGCAATGCAGAGGAAACAGAAGCTGCATTAGAAGGGACATTGATGCATTTACACACTGTTTATTGTAGGACATGAATGTATTTATCCTGCAGTTACAAATACAAATTGATACTGTTTTGATATTTTAAACATAAAACGTTAAATACTGATATTTGAAATTATAAAAAAAAAAATGAAAAGATACTTTAAATGTGAAATTAAAACTGTCAGTAGGCGGCAGCAAGTCACTGTTAATAAGTGAGTCATTGCGACTGAACCAAATAATTTAAACGGGTGATTCAATCAGGAACAAAACAGCATCATGTTGCTCAGAGATGCAAATTAAAATAATTTTTCTTGGCGAAATAGAGCAAAGACAGTCAATATTGTGTCTAAAACGTAAGTGTCTTAATATTAAATTCTTGTTTATTGAACCGCTGTATAAAAATCACATTTCTCATGTTGCTTTTTGGTGGAAAAAATGTCAGTCTTCGCGTGATACTGATTAACTATATGAAATGATTTAAATATATATATGTCTGCCCCCATATGTTGCATTTTGTGATCATTCTAAATGCATTGTAATAAACTGAATCATGCAGTAAAAGAATGGGCACTGGTCTAACCTACTAGACTTGCTATTGCCTTAGCTAAACTTTAGCTAACTTGGTAGCTCTCATGAGTCATGGATAGGATAATTAGCTGTAAATTCGAGGCACAGGTAGCTTAGTCTGTTGTTCATCACCACTCACCTCCACACCAAGACAAACACAACTGGAAAGGGATGGAGGGCTTCACTTCTGCGGGTCTCTGCATGTCTGTGACGTGATGTGCAGCTGATCAAATGTGCGCTACGCTGCTGTGGTGCGGACATAGAGGGTGCGGAGGCGATGAGGGAGAAAGGCATCGGAACTCGACACTCGACAGTCTCAACATTTCCTGACCCAACCTGATATTTAGATTTTTTATTTGTTTGACAGGGACATCTGTGTGCAAACAGAAACACACACACACACGCACACATATATTAGTTTACTTAAAATAAAAAAAATAAAAACAGAAAAAAGGGCACTTTCTCTAGAGGAAGAAAAAGGGCAGGTGCTCAAGCCCCCTTTGATGTCTATGTGTGCACGTGCCTGCTTATTAATGAAGCTGTTAATCATTGTAAACCATCTTTAAAAATAATTTGAAGATTTTTAATAAGTACATGATCATATGAAAGTTGAAAGTTTAATGAAATTTCTAAGTATTTCAAATTACATTAAATAATGATCTGTTAATCATTAGGTAATGTTTAATAAGTACATTAGTAAGCATTAACAAGCATGTTGACACATTTCTAGCTATGTTAATTTATATTAACTAATGATCTGTTAAGCATTATATAATGTTTGTTAATGATTTATTAATGAAAGTTATTATAAAGTGTTACCTGTTTAGCAATATATTTGACTTGACCACACGGACACTATTGGATAATAACTGAAATTAGTTGGGCTGTATGATGACATTGCTGTTTTCTCTACAGCTGCTTGATGAGTTAAACTCATTCCATAATTGAATTTAGTTTGCTTCATTGCAGTCTTGTCTATCAGTGTAAAGCAGCTTTAAAACAATCTGTATTGTATAAAGCGCTATGTAAATAAAGGTGACCTGACTTGACTAAACTGTGAATCATTTATCATTGCTTTGGCACAAAATACATTCAGACTACTTTCAAATTACAGGAATTATTTTCTTACTTAAATAAAACCACAACCAAACTATGTACTACAAGCCAATTTGCATATTTATATTCTCTTTTCAAAACTGTTAAACTTAAGTTTAAAACCTAACAAAATAGAAAATTGAATTAGATAACAAATGTTTACATTTCTACAATAATACCATGTTGAAATATATTCAATACCTAAAAAAATTAAATATTAAACTTTAAAAGCAATTAGACCTTAACCTGAACGCCTACAAAACAGTTAGTAAATTTTATTACATCTACACAATAGTGGACAATTTAAAAATAGATTTGTACTGTAATGTAAACTAGACCATGTAACTTTCTGCAGTGAATTCTAAACAGTAGAGATCTGTTATTCTTTTCTGTAAAGAATTTTTACAAAAGAATATACTGTGTAAGGCTACTTGTTAGCGTTTTTAAGTGTGCTTGTTGGGTGACAACCTTTGCTAGTGTTATGAAAGAATGAGTTGATTTGATTCATGTATGAAAATGTCTTTTCATGTCTTTTCAAGTATCGAGAAATGTGTGACAAGCTTTCCCCTTGCTGGTGAAATGATAGGGCTGTGTGACTTTTGTTCCAGGGAGGCGTATAAGCGTGGGTTTTAGGGTACTGCCGGACTGATGCAGCTTCTGTGCCAACTCCGCAGTGGAAAGATGGATTTAGTTATTGGTTTCATTTGATTGGTATTATTCTAATTGGATTTACTGATTAATGTTTGGCATTAATGACATGACAGTAAATTTAAAATTTTTAAATTATTCTTAATCTCTGACTTTGATGCTCAAAATGTTATCCTAATTTGTTAAATATCTTTTCTTTAACTTCCTCCATTATATTATTATAGCTAGGTAATATTGGCTTAATATTACTTTGACTAGGCTATGTATGTTGCATATTAATTTGTCTAGGAATCTCAAAGCGTAGGTTTTGTTTTTTTTTGTGCTAAAAAATCAAGTACCTTTAGTTGTACTTTTACGTTTCATTGAGGTCCAATATATCATTCCATGTAAAATAGTAACTCCTTTTTACCACCCTGTTTGTGAATCTTTATCACTTCTGAGGCGTGTCTTTATCAAGCAAGGCAGTTTTACAATTCAGCAGAAAAGTTTTATGCCCCCATATTACAATGCTGGCATGTTTCTGATGGAACTGACGTGATACAATGCAATTATTTGCAGCTTTACCAAAATAACTTGTGTTGAGTTACCAAAATAACTAACTCTTAGTTTTTAGTGAGAAAATAATAGTGTGTTTGAAAGGCTAAAAATGGTGGAGTCTCACTAGGACTGGATCATTTTAAGCAACACTGACCTCTGGGCTCAAAGAAGTGTATTTATAGTGAGGTCACAAGGAGTTCATGTTATTCAATTGGCCTTATGTGAACAAAGTACTAGTAGCCTCACACTTTATTGCTGGCATGCAAGCTCTAATCTGAGTCTTTTCAGCATATGAGTAATGAGATAAAAAAATTCAAGTAGGCGCGTTTCCATTACCCTTCAAATTGCGCAAATTGAAATTACGCCTAATGGAAACGCGTCAATTTCGCAAAAACGGCCATATATCGCAAAAAAGTTTTAACGCTCGCATGAGGTGGTTTTTCAGGCAATGCGCAAAAGGATTAATTCGCAAAACTGCAATGGAAACGGCTTTTTCGCATTTACAGGTCACAAGGCGTATGTAAAAACTCATATGATCATTCTTCAACGTACTATAACCTCTAAGAAGTACTTCATAAGTGGCCACGCTCCAGTATAAGGGGCTTTCCCTACTATTAATGCTTAGACAATTTAAACTGCACACGTCTGCGGTGCAGTGTGGCTCTGATACGGTCACTGAAGCTGATTACGACCACTCAATGCTTGTGTTTATGTTTTTATACAGTCTATGGTTTATTCCAGCCGCGCCAAGCACGTTTCTGAAGCGGCTCTCTTTGCTGCTTCTGTAAAGATACATGCATAAGCCTCCTTTGAATAAATATAGCCAAAATCCCACCAAAATCCGTTGCCATGACTTATCGCGAGAGGCAAAAGTTTACGTTTTAGCCGCATAACATTGGTTAATGGAAAAGCCGCCATTTCGCAATACTTTTTTATCGACATTCAGAAAATATCGGCAAAGTTTTGCGCAAATCTGTAATGGAAACGCCGCCATTTCGCAATACATTTTTATCGACATTCAGAAAATATCGGCAAAGTTTTGCGCAAATCTGTAATGGAAACGCCGCCATTTCGCAATACATTTTTATCGACATTCAGAAAATATCGGCAAAGTTTTGCGCAAATCTGTAATGGAAACGCCGCCATTTCGCAATACATTTTTATCGACATTCAGAAAATATCGCCAAAGTTTTGCACAAATCTGTAATGGAAACGCGCCTACTGTCAGCCCAGCACTTTTCCTGTATTGAAATATAGTGATCAAATCCTTAGGTACTGTGTCACATAAACATGTGGCATGTCTCTATTGTCACATCCTTTCCTTATAATCACCATCAAGCCTGAATAATGTTTTAGAAATAGAGTTCAAAAAGAGAACAATTGTGAGCGTGTAATGAAATGGAACAAATGTTTTTAACTTCACAAGGATATAAAAAAAGTGGAGACTAGGGCTCATCATGCAAAATATACGTTTTAGCACCATTACTGCTTCAAATCACAATTGCTTCAGAATAAATGTAGCTTCAAATAAGGCCAAGTATCTTTCTGAAACCACTGCTCAAAGATGAGTGAGAAAAAGTCTAAGACAGGAATTCTACTTGTTTATTTCAAAAGGAAAATGTTAATTCATCCCAACATTCAAGTCCATGCAGTGATCATCTGAACAGAGTAAAACAGCACTAAAATAACTCAACACAGAAAATAATTAAAATACATATGGAAATACATCATTACAAAGTACAGGATATTTAAAACACAATGTGAAGAAAACGATCAAAACCACTCTACCCTTCACATCATTTAGGTAAAATGCTTATGCTTTCTTTTCAAAAGAACGGGACGAAAGTTTGCAACATGAACAAAACCATGACTTGACAGGTTAACCTAAGGTCAGTTAAGCTTGGCTAGTAATATAAATTCTGGTTTTAATCATTTCTGACATTTTAGCTCATAGCTAATTGAAAGAGACTACAAGAAAAATATTAACAGTGGCAGCTGCTGACAGGCCATTTTCAGATGTTTACCTAAGAAACACATTGTTCTCTCAAGAGAATTAAAGAGATCTCTGAAGAAGCGTAATCGGGAAAAGGGGGGTGGACCGCTTTTTTTTTTGTTCAAAGTTTGAGCTGGTGAAAACCCTCTTTGCACACAATTGAGAATGACACACCAAAAGTTCAACTGAAATGTAACATTCAATAAAATGTAGCACAGATCAATAACACAGGCTCACAACAAGGAGCCTACTACTTGGTCAAGAGTACATTGGAGAGTGACTGAACAAAAGACAACACTAAAGCTCATTAGATGAAAGGTAAATTGGAGCAAAATGTATTTACGTGATGCACACACCAATGAATATTAGAGACATACAGTAGCAAATTAGAGTGCATACGTAAGTTCAATCAACTTTTATTAAAACAAAAACAAAAGAAAGACAGAAAGAAAAAGACAGAAAGAAAGAATGAATCCAAAAGATTATTAAGGGAGATCGGTCTAAAAACACAAATTTACATCTGCAACAGGATGACTCAGGATGCAACTCTCTACACACAAGGGGCATTCAGTATCATGATGCAAGAGAATCATGTGAGAAAACCACAACTACAATTTTTATTTTTGAATCCCTTGGAGTATTATAATGGTTATTTTGTATGTTGGTTTTATGTCAACATGGAACCAGCATAATGTCAACACGTGAGTCTGACACCAAAACGGTCATTATTATGTTAGTAAAACTACCACTGCAATAATTTCCTGTTATCTTGGGCCTATTCAAATACTGTCTTCTTGACTTGACAGGGACACAGAGCAAGGCCCATAGAGTTTTTCAGTGTGGATTATTATCTTATTGACAGTTAGGAGTTAACACATTTTAGGAACATAAAAATAATGCCTGCATCAATAAAAGACTTGGAATAAAAATCATAGTGTTAAAAAGTCAAATCATGACATACCATTTAAAACAAATCTCAAGTTAAAACCTAGCAGGTCAACATGGTTACCCAATAGAAAACCTTGGGCTAAAGTGGAAGACAATAAAAATAGTTTCAACATCCAATAAGGATTAAGCTTCGACAGGTTGATAGTTTTTTCTCTTTCTTTATCTAAAAAAGAAAGAAAAAAAATTCCACCAATATGGTGGGGAAAAAAAACATGCAGCGAACATGCATTGTTAGTGATCCAGGTCATAGTGAATATTAAACCCTGCAGTTAAGACACACCTGTTGGATCACTTGCAAAACAATCAAAACAAAACAATAATATATGTAGATATAGATATGTAGATATAGATATGTAAAATCCCATTTGAAAAGTGTAAATGGGGTGTGAGTAAAACCTTATATTTTTTATAATTTTCACCATCATTTCAGGTTTTTCATGAAAGAAAAACTTTAGAGTTTTAAGAAAGGAAGAAAGGAGACAGAATCAAATGTCATTGTTGTCCTCTTTGGAATACTCTTCCACCAGCTGTTCATAAGAGTGGCCATGGTCCAACCCTTCTGTGGTGAATACGGAGGTCTCCGATTCTGAGCCCTGTCCCTTTTTGAAATCCGTCTCATCAGCAGTTGAGAACTTAGGCATAAATTCATTATCATCATCCTCCAAGTTGTTGATTAGCAAATTCTCTTCATCAATGAAGGTAATGTTGGCATTGGGAAACATGAGGGTCTGGTAACTTTTGGAGTCCCATGTGATCCGGCCATCGCTGCAGCCTTTAGGTTTGAGACCTTTATGGTTCTCTCCTGCCTCCTTGTCCAACTGATTCTCATACATTCTTATACAGTCTAGGTCGGTGTCTGTTTCTCCTTCCCCATGCATTTCATTCATGAGAAGACATTCCTCTTGGCTAAGAAGGTAGCTCTTGGATTTTGAGAGAGCTACAGTAACTCTGTCACTGAAGCTATAGCGGCGCTTCTGTCGAGGTGAGCGGTCTAGACTGAGAATGGAATTTCCATTAATGGAAAGACTATCACTGCAGCCCTTCGAGTGGTTTGGTGCTTTATTCTTGCTGCCGGTGACTAAGCTGACACGTTGATCTTCTCCTTCCTTCTCGGCACCTATCTGCTTGATTAAGTCATTATAACATTCTTTTCTCTTGGACAGGAAGCTAAAGATGTTGGCATTATTGGGAGTTGGTGGCAGATGTAGGGTCTTGTGACTTTCCTTGATGTGCTGTAACTCATCCAGAGAAAGTTTGCGCCTTTTACGGCGCTTCTTTAGAGCTTTGTGAGCCTCCACAACCATGCGCACCTTCCAGTTGAAAAACAAAGAGAGCCATGCCAGACCAAGATAAATCCAGACCTCTACAAAGTACCGATACAGAGTAGGGTAGTCAGCATTGGGGTCAACACCTAAACAAAACCGATACAAAGAAAATAGTTTGCAAATTTATAATTAAAATGTCAAAAATGTCCAATTTATACATTTATGATTAACTCTACTATACCTATATGCCTTTCTCATGAACTCAAAATGACTCCTATCTATGCTTCACTAAAACAACTTACACTTGGAGACTCTGAAGTTCCCAAAAGGAACTAGACCATTGTTGAGTGTAATATGGCTGTTATGGATCTTAAAAAGAACTAGAGAAGTATAGCTTGACAGAACAAACTTTGATGTTGGCTTGACAAATCCTTTTTTGAAAGTTAAAAAAAAAAGTTTAAAGTTTGATGGTTATATAGATGCAGGTGGCTAAACACGCAGCTAGCTAGCTAGGCATTGATAACAATTTAACATTGCTGCTTACATGTTTAGCACATCTTAATATGTTAATAACCTGACATTGTCCTGTCACATTAACACTCTGGTGAAGAAGGCCCGTCGGTGTCTGTTCCACCACAGATGCTTGAAGGACTTTAAACCGCTCTCTAAGCTGCTCAGGAACTTTTAAACCTGCACCACTTAGAGCATCTTGATGGAAAACATTACAGTCTGGTTTGGGAACAGCACAAAGACAAACGAGCTCTCCAGAGGGTGGTGCAATCAGCCGAGCTTGGGCTGGGCGTAATATTGAGTTTGTACAATATATCGATATATTTTTTACAAACTGGACCAAAAGCAGGAAGATAATGAAGGACCTGAGCCATCCCAACAATGGACTGTTCTCTCTTTTGCAGTCTGGGAAACATTTCTGCTTCCTGAAGGCCAACACAGAGAGAATGAGGAGAAGGCAATTCGGGCCCTCCACCGGGGTACACAAAGGACTAGAAACTGGACATGTACAACATGCACTACCTCATCCTGACTATTTACGCTCATCTCAATTTGCACATTTACAGCTGCACTTTATTGTATATTTACCATAATCTATTTCTATTGCTCTTTATGTTGTACATATTCTATTTCTACTTATCTTTTAATTCAATTTACCATTAAATTTTAGTATAATATTTTTAGTATATTATAATTGTACAAAAAAAATAATTTTGTATTATATTATAAATTGTAAATTCTTTTAATCTATATTGCATTTAATTTTTTTTTACTTTTACATTCCTTATCATTTTTTATTCTTATGTAAATGGACGTAAAAAGCATTTCTCTGTCAAGTCAAGTAACCTTTATTTTAGTCTCGTGTAGCCAGACCTTCAGACAGAAGGCAGAAGGTCTGGGAACATTGGCAGCTTTGAATGGCCAAGGCCCACTCAAGATGCCATAAGACTGATCATGTTTTGTTTTGTGCCGCATCATGTTTAAGGGCGTGGAAATGTCTCCACAATAACAGACCGGTGTGTAAAACTCTTGGACTTATTCGAAAGATTCTATGCCGCGAACTTTAAATATTTCACATGCTTCCGAAAATCCAGTGTCTAGTTGATCCTGATAAGTGCTCATTGTCACAGTTGTAAATATGAAACTTTCTTCTTCCATGAGGGGGTTTGCCTTCACGGCATCTTTGTTTCCATGTGGAACATTAAAGAACGCGACATACACATTTACACATACACATCCGATGATGACTTCGAAACTCCTGAAGTGTTTCCAATTTTGTGTGCTATATGCATCAGACATTCAGCCACCGATGTCTGTGAGCGTGACGTCTGAGGCTGAGAATACCTTTATTTATATAGCGCTTTATACAATACAGACTGTGTCAAAGCAGCTTTACAGTATTAAACAGGAAAATAGTGTGTCGATAATGCAAGAGGACAATAATAAACACTCAATTTTTCAGTTAAAGTCAGTTCATTATTGATTCAGTGATGTCATCGTTCAGCTCAGATCAGTTCAAATAGTATCAAATAGTATCTGCGCAATCAAGTCAAAAACATTGCCAAAAATGAAGAGTCCCCAACTAAGCAAGCCAAAGGCGACAGTGGCAAGGAACCAAAACACCATCGGTGACAGAAATGCTGAAAAAAAACCTTGGGAGAAACCAGACTCAATCGGGGGGCCAGTTCTCCCCTGGCCAGACGAAACCAGCATAGTGTGGTTTAATTCCAGACTGCAACACAAATCAGAATTGTGCAGAGGACTCGTCTGGTTCTTGTGGTCTTGTGCTGATGGCCATCTAGTTGACAAGTTCTTTTCAGGGGATCTGTCTCTGGGGCTCATCAACCTAGACAGTGTTCTATGTTTTTACATGTGGAGGTTTTTGGTCCGATAATTAACACCTCTATTTTTTCAAAATTTAGCAGTAGGAAATTACTAGTCAACCAGTTTTTTTATATCAATGCATTCCATTAGTTATGCAAATTGGTATACTTTGTTGGGCCGCAAAGAAATATAGAGCTGAGAATCTTCAGCATAACAGTGAAAGCTAACACCATGATTCATGGGGCCTGTTTCAATAAGGAGGTTTAAACAACTCTTGAGTTAAAACTTGAACTCTGTGACTTACCCTGAGATGGGAAACTGAGTTTTCGGGTTCTGAACAGCTGAATTGTGTTAGTTCACTCAACTCTGAGTGCATTGACTCTGATTCACCATGACATTAACACCCAACAAAAAGACGTCCGCATACTTCCGAGTCAACAATACGTAACTTTAATTCTTAATCACTGTTGTAATATCAAAGGTAAAAAGTGGCAGAACAGTAGGTTATTGAACTAATATTAATTTTCATTGTATCCCACAGGGATAAAGAAAAAGCAGCTAAACATGAAGTATAAAAAACATAATTCAATCAGGTAAAGCTTTAAGCATAAAAGATTCATGGGTGTAGGCTAAGACAGTGTTTCCCACCCTGGGGTGCCGCCTGAAAAACTAAAAAGCAATTTATTTAATTCGAAGGCCTGTCATTATTTTTTATTTGTGCTATCATTATTAATTTCTTTATTTCTTATTTTATTACTGACTGCTTGCTTGTCATTTTTTATTCAATTCAAAGTTTGAAATCAAGCTATCTCGTGTTACTGCACCAAAATTACCCACTGTAAAATTTAAAAAACACTGAGTGAGCAAAAATTTGTGAGATAGCTAGTTATAATGGTAATTAAATAATGTTTACATATGTATAAAAGCCTACATTAAAATCTGTCATATAAATTGATCTCTTCATTAGAAATTAGCCTACTGATATAATATAATATAATAATAATATTAAAAAATATCTGTATGACATTATATTCTGCAGTTCTTCCCTGTTGTACCGAATATCTATACTTTTCAAATGATCATATCGAAGTTAGAAATTCAAATATTGTGACAAAATTAATTTTGTAGGGTGCCACAAGTTTGTTAAAATTTCCAAAGGGTGCCGCGACTAAAAAAGGGTTGGGAAACACTGGGCTAAGACATATTAAATAAAGACATATTAAGACATTAAATAAATACCATTCAGTGTCTGTTTCAATGTGCAGCAGCTTTTTCCACATAGTCTTATGCTCTTTTCACATAATTAAATGTTCTCTAATCCAAACTGTTGCATTTCTTAATTAGAGTAATGAAATTAACATTTGACATCTACTCAGCAAGGCGGCTCACAAAATAATGAAGAACAGACAAAGAGCAGATGGCCACAATACCAAGTATTGGAAGAATATTAAAATCCAAGAGGAAAATTAATAACTGTTGCTTTTGTATTTGTAAGAAAATAAACATGACCAAATAAATTTAACAGCGGTGGTGGTTATGGCATATATTTCGAACTACCCTTCCATCTGGCATCCTTCTATTCCATACAGTAATTAGCTTCATTTTTGATGGGTCTGTGCCAAAGAAAGTACACAAATATTCCATACAGTAATCAGCTTAATTTTCAATGGTTTGTGCCAAAGAAACTACACAAATATATATATATATATATATATATAAAAAAGAGAGCATGAGAGCGAGGCACACTTTCCTTACTGCTCTGCATACAGCGACCTTACTAATGTGCTTTGCATCCCTGATGTTATATTGAAAACTCAAATAAGCTCAAATAAACATACATGTGGATATAGGCAAAAAAAATAAAAAAATTCTAAATCCTCTCCCGATGTAAATGTAACTCCCTACAAATTAATGCAGCCTCCTCATCTTCAGGATTCTGTATAAAAGGACATGACATTTTTTATCACTTTCACAGTGTCTGCATGATGAAAATATGTGCAATGAATGAATGTACCAGCACTGCAAAAATGCTTTTCTTTATTTTTGTCTTTTAAGTGTATTTTCTTATTTAGCAAATTATCTGCCAATTGGGTTTGAAAAATAATCTTGTTTCCATTTGCAACATTTTTTTTGTTGTTGTTTTAAGTAAAATGCACTTAATTTAGATTCCAAAATACTTACTAAGAGAAAACATTTTTCAAGCTTGAATGATTATCTTTCTTTAATGATTAATCGCTTACACTTTAAAAAGCGGGAGGAAACTGAAAGAGACTTTGGGTTTAACGAAGAAAACCTGCCACTGACCAGGTTAGGTTCACAGAGTAATTTACCATGGCAACTGACTCTGAATATAAGTTACCTCTCTTTCAGAAAAGGGCTTAACTTACTTACCCTGCTTTCTTGGGTTTAACATGCCTCCCATTCTGAAACCCAGAGTTTCCCTCATTTCAGGGGTTTTCAGAGTTTTCACTAAAACTCCTTTCTGAAACGGGCCTCTGATGATATCTCCTAAGGGTAACATGTAAAGCATGAAAAGTAATGGTCCTAGTACTGACCCTTGTGGTACTCTATACTGCACTTGCGATCGATATGATACCTCATCATTCACTGCTACAAATTGATAATGGTCAGATAAGCATGATTTGAACCATGCCAATGCAATTCCACTAATGCCAACATAATTTTCTATTCTATTCAACAGAATGTTGTGGTCGATAGTGTCGAATGCAGCACTGAGATCCAGTAGCACTAACAAAAAAATACAACCACGATCAGATGATAAGAGCAGATAATTTGTAACTTTGATGAGAGC